TTATTTTAAATAACACAACTTATGTTATTTTATTCTCATAAAGAGGTGAGATCTATATCTTTATTTTTTTTGTTCACTCTCTCTTTCATAATTTATCTTTTTCTTTCACTTAAAATGACATAACTTTACATTTTTTAGAATGACGTATACCTTTCTCATTTACAAAACCCTCGCATACGCTCATATAAACCATTAGATAACAAAGAAGGGGCACATACAATTTGAAGAATAAATAGCCTAGCCATGATTCCAAGTTCATAAGCAAAGAAATGTGACAGGATAGGAACTTAGGAAGCAACGGAGGTTGTCCAGAGAAGAATCATAGAAAAATACCATGCAATGATTGAGAAAAGTATAGGTGGGTAAATAGGCCAATCCAGCTAGCATATGCTCGACCCATAATGGGTTAACAAATAAACAAGTTACATCTAGTGGATCTGCACTATAAATGAATAACAAAATTGCAAAACTCAGGTTTGGCATGGAAATTACAGATTGGTTCACCAACTCGTTTATCTTTTTCTTTTTAATCCTTTTTTAGTTTTTTTATTGTTTGCTTTTTTTAATAACTATTTAGAATTTTTGACCTTATTTAGACATTTGGGCCATTAGACTCGTTTGGGCTTGAGAATTATTGGGCAAGAAGCTAGCTAGTTGGAAAAAGAATCATAGAAGTTAAAATACTTAAAAATGAAAACTCAATCAATTTAGCAAGTTGGGTTTTGGGTTAGCGAGTCACAACAAGATACTTGGCTCATAAACTTATGTTTAAATGGACTTGCAAAAATATTGCTGATCCAGATTGTTTGCTCAGTTTCTCACCTCTAATTAAGGGGGGAGAAAGATAGATACAAGGATAGGGGTTGTAATTACAAAAATTTATAACGATACTTTTGCCTGTATAAATTTGAAAATTGATTCTTGATCTTCAACTCTCCTCCATCGCAGTGGTTTTTTGAGAAATTAGAAAATGTAGTTTTTTTTTAAAAAAAAGTTAATATGATTTTTAAGGATGTAGTATTCTTTTACTAATAATAAAAAAAAAAAATGCAACTCAGGCAGCATTAATCATAAAGCGGTAGGTAGAATAAGTACAGTTAAGGATTGCTTTTGCCAACTTAAAAATTAACGGAGGTTATAGTTATTATTTCTTTTTCTTATTATTTATGATTATTAAATCTTAATTGTTGATTTTTTTCAATCTAACAGTTGTAATTTATTGGGTCATACTACTAATAATTAATCATTGACACCTTCAAATTGCCTCCTATTATGATAAATAACTACAGGATACATATTTGAACTTGAACTCACCTTTCACACGAAATTGGATATAGGGTTTAGGTTTGGTTCAGAATAAAGATGAGAAAGTAGAGAGATTTGGGGTACAAAATGTACAAATGATCAAAGAGGTCGAAACTCACTGATATTAGAATTTTTGGCCCAAGTATTTGGGTGTGTACCCAGGTATTTGGGTGTGTACCCAGGTATTTTATTTTTTTTAGTAGATAATGAGGGCACAGCCCAAAACAAAAACAAAACAAAACAAAACAACTAAAGTAAACCTAGTCTATCAGACTCCACCAGCAACTGTAAGCTGTCTGGAACTGATGAAAACAACTCTAAATCTTAGTTCCTTTTGAAAACAAAGGAAGCCATCCAATCAGCACAACAATTTGAATCTCTGCCACCATGATTAAATTTCAGACTCCAACTATTATAGCTCCAGCTCTGCATTTCGTGAACAAGGCCTTGAAGGAAATTGTTTTTAATCTGTCCTGTAACAAGTTGAACAGCCATACTAGAATCACTTTCAACCTCAACCTGCGTAGCCTTCATCCGCCAAGCCACCTCCAGGCCTTTAATAATAGCCCAACACTCAGCTGTTAGAGAGGAACAAACACCAATCTGATAGGTGAATCCTATAATCCAATTACCCTTCTCATCTATAATCAAACCACCACAAGCAACACTATTGGAATGAAGACACACTGCAACATCCACATTCAACTTCCGCCACCCTATCTGAGGAGGTTTCCAAAATGGGTTGTGTGTCACACGAGTAGGCTTTCCTCTAGTATTTAAAAGGAACGCCGATTTTATCTGGGAAATATACAAAGAAATCACCATACCTGGATTAGAAGGACGGAAAAAATCATTATCATGAATAGAGTTATTCCTCCACTTCCAGAGAAACCAGCAAGAAACCATAAATATGTCTCTCCAGTCAAACGCTTGTACATGATACCATTTCCTTTCCAGGTTACTCCTAATCCAATGTTATAGTGATGAGGAGTAAAACTCATTAGTGTCCCCATGCCCCAACCAATCCGTCCAGAGATTCTTAGCGTGTAAACAATCACGCATAACATGTAAAGCATCTTCCACTTTATTAGGGCAATTTGGACAGAAGGGAGCCCCACCCCACTTCGAGATAAGCTCATTTGTAGGCAAACGCTCATGCACCAGTAACCACATGAAAGAGCTTATTTGAGGCAGGCCAATCCAGCTCCAAATAAATTTCCAAATAGGATCATTAATCATGCCGTCAAATTCCATTTTCTTATAGTAGGCAGCACTAACAATTGACTTCTCACAACCTTTCCTACCCCAGGCCAAGACATCCGACCATTTTTCAGGAGAAGGAGTGATGAACAATCTTATTTGGTTGAGAGCTTCCTCAGGCAACTTCGAGTTAAGATATTCCCAATTCCTCATGTCTGTGCTTTCATCCATCAAGTCAGCAAGTTTGGCACTAATCTCAGCTTGATCCAAAATACCATCAACTAAGTTCTGTAGAGGTTGATCTAAATCTGTCCAATGATCCTTCCAGAAAAGAATGTCTCTACCATTACCAATCCTCTATCGCATACCATCTAAAACATCATTCCATATTTTAACTAATCCCTTCCAAAGAGATGAATCACTTTGCTTACTGCAAGCCTGCCACTTTAAGTCCAAGCCCCTCCTATACTTACCAACCAAGACCTGAGCCCATAAGTTATCCGGTTGACTCAACATTCTCCAAACTAACTTCATGAGGAAAGCTTCATTCTGAACTTGAATCTTACGCACACCTAGTCCCCCCAAACTCTTAGGACGACAAATCTGCCCCCAAGACACAAGATGAGATTTTTTCTTAAGATCAGAATCCCCCCAAATAAAACCTCTTTGAATCTTCTCTAATTCATTACAAATTGAAGAAGGAATCACATCATGTTGCATGTGATACATGGGGATCGTACTCAACACAAAATTTGCTAATGTAACCCTCCCTGCAAAGGAAAGATGTTGACGTTTCCATCCTGCAAGGCGTTGTCTAACTTTATCTAAAACTCCATCATAATTATGCTTTCTTCCACGCCCATGATTCAGCATGGCACCAAGATACGTACCCAAAGAGTTAGCCTGGTGAAACCCACTAACTTTGAGAATATCCTGCTTAATTCCTTCACATGTATTCTTGGAGAAATAAATAATTGTTTTTTCCATGCTAACCTTTTGTCCAGACATAACACAAAACTTGCTGAGACAACTCTGAATCACCTCTAGTTGAGACAGTGATGCTTCTCCGAAAAGCACCAAATCGTCTGCAAACATGAGATGTGAGACACATGGGCCACGTCTCCCTGCCTTCATGGGTTTCCACCTCTTACTTCTAACTTCCTCAGCAATAAGATGAGTAAGTTTTTCCATACATAGCACTAAGACATAAGGTGAGATGGGGTCCCCGTGTCTGATGCCCCTCGATGGCACAAACTTATTTGATTTTGATCCATTCCACAAACTTGAAATTGAGTGAAAGAGATACAAGTCATGATAATATCCATAATCTAGCTCGGAAGGCCAGTTTCCTGAAGGACACTGCAAATGAATTGCCAACTAAGCCTATCATAAGCCTTTTCTAGGTCAATCTTTATAGACATGTATGCTTTTCCCCCTGTTAATCTTCTTATGGATTGAGTCATTTCACTAGCAACAATCACATTGTCATTTATAACATGACCCGGAACAAAACTAGATTGAAACGAAGAAATTAGCTTACTCATGATAGGTTTCAATCTGTTGACAAGCATCTTAGTTATTGCCTTATAGAACACATTGCAGAGAGAAATTGGTCTTAGTTGCCCCATTTTTTATGGCTTTAGTACCTTCGGAATAAGAACAATAAAGGCCTCATTCATACTCCTAATTTTATCAGTACGGCGAATACAATCTTGAATATCTTCACACACTCTATTACCCACCAAACTCCAACTCTTCTGGAAGAACGCCGCTGGGTATCCATCAGGACCAGGTGCTTTGTGGGCTCCCATTTGAAAAAATGTTGCTTTAATATCAGTATGTACAAATGGTCTTCCTAATGCTCTGACTTCATGATCCTCCAGTTTCGGCCAAGCAACCAAAGTTTGTTCCCAAGGCATTTCCTGCACCTCTTATGAAAAAAGAACTTGGTAGAATCGAGTAAAAACATTTAATTATGTAAAAATGCTGCTTTAACTATATACTCATGCAAAAACTCAAATTATATAAAAACTCTAATTATCCACAACATATATTCGGATAAATGGGTCAATATTCGGATAAATATGTAATCAACGGTGAAACATCATATATTGCTATTATATTTGGTGAAAATGTCAAATTTTTTTAGTTTATAAATAGGGGCAATATGACAATTTTTTTAATTAAAGAATGGGTTTTATAAGAGTTATGTTGTAGGAAAAGTGATTGTGTTATGTTATAGAGATTCGTTTTGCGTGCCAAATTTTTTTTTTTTGCTGCGGGCCCCACAAAATATTGTGTGTGTAGGAAACTTTTTGTGGTCATGTTAAATGATAGATGATAAACTCTTAAAGAATACGGTGTTTAAAAAGCACACAAAAGACTTTTGTCATTTTTGACTTGATGCCAGTGGTTGTCATTTTCAGTAAAATTATAATCAATAAAAAAAAAGACTAATTAAGAGAGAATGCGAAGACTGAGAGAGAGACTAAAGAGTCTGGGCTGTGAGAGTGGGAGAGTCACTGCACACTGCACGCTACTTCAACTTTGTTTCTACCATCTGTTTCTTCTCAGATCTTCCATTTCCGCCTCAAATTTCCCTCTTAATCTCTTCGCTCTCAACCGAGACGTTGTTCCATGGAACAGGTTAGTGCAATGCACCGGTTTTCGATTTCCGGTTTCAGTTCCTCGTATAACTGGCGCCGATTCTTTTCCCTGTGTTTGTGAATTTTGGTTTTGTAGTATGAGAAGGTTGAGAAGATTGGTGAAGGAACCTACGGTGTCGTTTACAAGGCTCGCGACCGCGTCACCAACGAGACCATTGCGCTCAAAAAAATTCGCCTCGAGCAGGAGGACGAAGGGGTTCCAAGCACCGCCATACGAGAGATTTCGCTCTTGAAGGAAATGCAGCATAGGAACATTGTTAGGTATTTTCCTCCCTTTCTGGTTTATTGATTATCTTTTTGCTTTGATTATGAGGAATGCAGTGATTATCGATGATGATGAAATTAATGTGTTGCTCTGCTTGTAGACACAGAAAATTGGAGGCTTAATAATGTTGTTAGCGTGTGGTGTTTTTTTAGTGAGTGTGTTTATGTAATTTGATATTTTAACTTTGACGCGTAGTGTAATCATGGATATGCTTAGAGTACCGATATTAAGCATTTTAATCATAATGAATGACTGGAGGTGGCTTGATATTGTTCTTCATAGGTAGCAGGTGATTGTTTCTGGCAGTTTATGCTTTTTAATTAAACAATTCTCTGTATGATTTTTTTTTGTCACTTAAATTCTGAGTTTAGATAAATAATGCTATACCAATTCATTGTTATGTGTTAATCTTCTGACAGCCTGTGTTGATATTTTACGCCTACAATCCGTATCCCACTAGGTGTGATAGGATGCTTGGATCAATTGACAACCTGCTTTTCCATTCTGTTAATTTATGTGTCTGGTGTTTGGTCAACTGGTAGTGGTAAAGCTATCTGCAGATACCATTTGACAGACTGTATAGCTGTAAATTGTTCATATAGGTGAGGTGACTGTAGGATGCATCAACAATTGTGTGAACCTTTTCTTTCTTGAGGACTGCTTTTGGTCTTACTAGATTCCCATATCTAAAACAAGACTATGGTTTTATATGACCCTGCATAACTCCCATAACCATAGGCAACATAAATTCTATTTTAGATGATATAAAAGCTTTACAGAAGACCTACTTCCGAGGTGTTATATTATTTATGCTATCAAAAGATAGGTTTTGGATGACCCAAGAGAACATGTTGACTATAAAATTTCTCCCACGTGTCAATTCCTTTAAATTGTGTTGTTTCACCATGTTGCTGTTCTAAATCTTATTCCCTTTAGCCATTTGCTTATCAAGTTATGCTTTGTGGTTGTGTGGATGGCAGGTTGCAGGATGTAGTGCACAGCGAGAAACGATTGTATCTGGTTTTTGAGTATCTGGACTTAGATCTGAAGAAGCACATGGATTCATCTCCAGAGTTTGCGAAAGATCCACGACAAGTAAAAGTGAGTGACTTCAATGGGTTTTTTTCCTTTTTATTTTATAGAATTTTTTGTAACTCAAGTAATAATTGTGAGAGTGAGCAAGAAATCTAATTTGGAAAGCAATCATGTTTTTCTTTTGAGAGTGCTTGATGATTAAATAACCTTATGGTTGGCAACATAATTTTAGCTTGTTAAAATGAAGGTATATACATATTGTGCATGTCTCATGAGTTTTGTGATGAATTACAGAGTTAAGTGAATTACACTTGATTACTTGATTGGTATGATGTTGTCTTTTAAAGTATCCTATTTCTGGAAATGAGTTAGCAGTTGATTAAGTTTGGCCTTTAGCATTTCGGTTGGAGCTGTCCAGTGTTTGGTAAAACTTGTTCAAATATCATCTCGTGTAGTTGATCAAATAGAACTTAAATATGTTGGTTCTAGTCAATGCAGCATGGGAATAAAGATGCTGTACTGAGATGCAGCTACCACATATTTCTTTGGCATTGGCTTCCCTTATTGCCTGATGGATTGCCCCCTCATTATTGTACTATCTGGGCTTGATTAGTTATGCATTAGTTCCGTTACCTTCCCTTCACTTACCATTGTTTGTTGGTTAGATCATGGTTAAATATTTCCTCCTTAGCATTCATCATTAATATAAAACATATTTTGTCATTGATTCAAGGAGAGACGTGCTAATTTTGATGAAAATTGTCAGTTAATTTGGAATTTGATTTCTTTAATGATCCTTTCTGCAGATATTCCTTTATCAGATTCTCTGTGGCATTGCTTACTGTCATTCACATAGAGTTCTTCATCGAGACTTGAAACCACAAAATTTGTTGATAGATCGCAGCACTAATTCACTTAAGCTTGCAGATTTTGGATTGGCTAGGGCATTTGGCATTCCTGTCAGGACATTTACACATGAGGTTTGTATGCTAACATATTTTTCTTCTAGTAATCCATGCAGGTAATCAAAATTTGAAATAAATGACTTTTGCATAATAAAATGATATGTACGTATGCTGTATTCCGAAGTTTCATCTTTTGGAACTCTAAACATGGTTGGACATCTTACTTCCCTGTAATGCTAAAGCTGTAAGACTATATTTGGTATTTTGTTATTTCTACTCCTGATAAAAAAATAAAATAATGTCATCTTTCTTTTTGTCTTTTTGTACATATTGTTGGTGAATCCTCTATGTAGGATGCAAGATTGAGCAGAATGGTGTAATAGAATCCATGTAGTTCACCTCACTTAGTGGGAAGAAGGCTTTGCTGTTGTTTGTCTTTCCTCTAATGTATTGCTAATTCAAACTGATTTTTTGGGAGCCTTAACCTTGGGATGGTCATCTGAGTTGTAAAAAGTGGGTTTTCATAATTTTTCAAACTAACATTGGGAAATTGCATCCTTGGGAATACTGAAGATCATTGGTCACTTTCATATTGTCTAACAAACTGATATTCAGAGATTGTTTCCTTTCTCATTACATTAATTTGACATTTTCAATATATGAAACATATAGGTTAGTAGTATACTAATGAGTTCCACAAATAATAGGTAATCAAGAATGGTAGTAAGATTGCTCTATCTGATATTTGCTTACACTTAATATACCAGCTACATTATATAATCTGCCATAGAGTGTTGGCTCAGTGTGTAGGATAGAATTGCATCTGCATCAACTAAAAGGTCTTGAGTTCAATTCTTGCTAGCGATCCTTCATTGCTAGGTAATCTGTACGTGCTACTATAATTCCCAGCTAAGTCCTGTGGCATGCCCTGACCATGGAATGGGGCAACCTTCCCTTCTCCGATACTTTAACTAACCTAAAGAAAATATGCATTTATTTTTTTGAATGAAAATAATTAAAATTTAACTGATAGCAGATTAGATGTACATATAAAAACTTTTAGAAAGGTATTGGTAGTCTGGTTGATGAACTTAAAATAATTTAATAATTATTCTCATTTCTGTGTTTATAGACATTGGTAATTGCTTGTAGGTGGTGACACTGTGGTACAGAGCTCCAGAAATATTGCTTGGATCTTGTCATTATTCTACCCCAGTTGATATTTGGTCAGTAGGATGTATATTTGCAGAGATGGTAAACAGACGGCCTCTATTCCCTGGAGACTCTGAAATTGATGAATTGTTTAAAATATTCAGGTGAATATCGTTATTAAGTTGACATCCTTAAGATAGATAATATGCCTTGTATAGGTGAGCCAAAGGACTCTAAATCTACTAAAGACAAGTGACACAAACTTATGATTGGAGTATCCTAATCTGGAAAAATAAATAAAATGATAATCCAAATAAGGACAAGATACCTCAAGACCCAAACAGCTGGACCTTAAATTCTCAAAGATATCCCCAGTTATAAACCCTTAGTCCCAATGTACAATTATATCATACATTAATATAATAATCATAAATACTATCTCCTCATACTGCATTACAAGTAGTTCCGTGTCAATTTTGTATGCTCCCTGTTGATGGTTGATAGAATATTGAAAGTTGAACCCATAAAATGAGTAGTTACTGGTCCTATTTGTGCACAATTATTTATACATGCTTTTCTCATTTATCTAACCCGTAACGTGGAATATGGTTAAAGTGGTTGTAAAGTTTGTTATGTGTCATTTGTATTGTTTAGGGGTGGGGATTAAGCAAAATGATTTGAATTTGGCCAAAACATTAATTTGCTGTATTTTCAAAATGTGTGTTCATTATTTATAACCATTTAAAAATAACTAGTTCTTGATTAAACCACAAAAAAAAAAAAAAAAGCTTCCCATGAAACCCTGACTTGGGATGGTACATAAGAACAAAAAAATGAGGTTCGTAAAACTTGCAATCCTTCTTACGATTTATCATATGGCTTCAGTTTTATTAATGTCTCTTTCATCTCTTTTCATATTATGGCTGGATTTGAGATATGTTTGCATTTTGTTTCAAATGTTAAACACGATTAACTTTTCTTAAAATAAAAATTGGAAAAAGAAGAAAAATGTTCACTACTTTGTCTTGATTATAGTTGTTATGATTATTGCATTTGAACTCATGACAAATGCAATTCTATTAAATTTTATATTCTCGGTTGCTCCAAGAGTGTTTTTTGCTTTTTTTGGTACCTTTCCTTTTTTTGGTTCCTGGAGGGTTGTGAGGGAAGTGTTATAGAGAGGAAACCAATAAAATTTGAATTTTGAGATAGCATTTCCATTATAAATTGCTTTCTTTGGTCGTTGTTAGTCTTGCTCTTATCTACTGAATGAAAAGAATAACAGAGGAGTTCTTAATTGGTGAATTTTTGAATTTAACATTTTTTTGGTGAGCCGTGAATTTAAATTTTTTATTTAATGTATCAAAACCTGTTAGATTTGAAAAGTGGCTAATAGTCCAATAATTTTTGCTTCCAAATAGGCATGTATCGAATAAATAATCAAAGCTGCATATATATGTGCTTTTATATTTACAAATTGTTCCTTATGTGAAGAATCTTGGGTACACCAAATGAAGATACATGGCCCGGAGTAACTTCATTGCCTGATTTTAAATCAACATTTCCCAAGTGGCCACCTAAGGTAATTGAGTGGTTTTTTGTCTTTATCCTGGATTAATTGTTGGGTTCTTCATTGCGGTAAGAATTTGACCTTATCTTGTACTTTGCAGGACCTAGCAACTGTGGTTCCAAACCTTGAGCCAGCTGGTCTTAATCTCCTTTCTGTGAGTGCAACTTGTTATATAGCATTCTTTTTCTTTGCCATTATTAATTGCCTCTGGCCTAGTCTCTAAGGCTGGGGTGTGATGATAATGTTAAAGAGGTTCAATTCTCGATTAGGTCATCTATCAAGGGAAAGTACTTTCTGTTCTGTTGAAAAACAAAGACAAAACAAGAGAAATCTATTTAGAAGCAATAATATAATACATGAGTATTGTATGGTAGTCATCCTCACAAGATTTTCGCAAAACGATGACCGATTGTAGATTAGTAATCAAGGTAATTTGCAAAGGATAACCACGCATAAATGGTGAGTTTAGTACAGGCACTTCATTAGTTAGACTACCAATCAGTAATAGGATTTTCCATGGAACTATTGAGCATTTCACACACAAAACACTCAGACATTGAAACACATCAATGCTTGAGTGTTTTTTAACTTTCTCTTTGCCTTTGGAAATATTTGTTAGAGAAATATACTATAAAACCATTATTTAGGCCTTCACCTAACAACTTAAACTTTTTGGTTGAATTAGTTCTTCACACAATGTTAGAGCTTTTGTAACCAAATAGTCACAAGTTTGATCTTCATCCCTCTTGTGTGAGGGGACATGTTAGAAAAATATAATATAAAACTATTAATGTAACCTTAACCTAAATGTTTAAGCTTTTGGATTGGACTCGTTCTTTATAATATTCTACTCATTAAATTTTAGTTGAAAACAGAGGGAGAGGGAGAGAGATTATCCGTTGTTTTCCTCATTAAAGAGAGATGCTAGTGTGTGACCCTTGAATGCTTTATTTTCAACGCTCGAGTGTTTCCTAGCATTCCTTTTAGCAATATTCAACTCCAATGAATCTTGAGCTGAAAGCAGAGGGAATCCTTTACTTTTCCCATCAGTTTTAAAGTGAGATGCTGGGTGAATGACCCTTGAATGCCTTGTTTGCCTTTTGAACATTAATTGCTCCCTCAGCTGGGTCCCGAGCTGGTTTGCATATCCCCTGTATGCTGGGATTATTATAAAACAAATGCATTCCAGTATTTAATTTATCATATAATGAAGTGAAAGATCTCATGACATTTATCCATCAATATCTTATGTTTTTTAATCCTCTATTTCAGTCCATTGTCTGCATTTATGAGTTTTCTTAATTTTAGATAGTAACATCTTTTTGGTTCCTCGAGCGTTTCTATTGATTTTCTCTGGCGCTTACTTTATCGTATGTATGCATGTCTATTGTATTCCAGAGTATGCTTTGCTTTGATCCCAGCAAAAGAATTAGCGCCAGGAGCGCTGTCGAGCATGAATACTTCAAAGACATTAAATTTGTACCCTGATTCCTAATCTTCATGTCAAAGGTGTTTATAGTAATATGTGCAGAGTTATTGGGTTTTTACTGTGCGAGAAATGCGTGCTATGTTTGCTATTTTCATTTCTTGAATGACTTGTGACTGAATCATATTTCATTTTTTGTCCTTACAAATATTTCAGATTCGACTTGAGCGTGACCATATTGCCTATTACCTTTTTTTTTTTTTTTTTTTTGAGTGATATTGTTGCTTGATTCTGGCGGAACAAACACGTAGAGATGTCAAAATGGGTTAAAGCTCGTGGATCAGCCTGTAAAGTATTATATTTGGCCTTAACCCATTAGTTGTGGTGGGTCTTTTTTTAGCCCTAACCTTCAAAGCCCTATAATTTAGTGGGTTGGGTTAGGGCTGACCCGCGGGCCAAACTTTTTCTTTCATCAAAATCTTTATTATTTAAAAAATTAAAAATTATATAAATTTAAATATTTATAAATATAAGTAAAAATTATTGTGAATTTGATGGAGAATATAAGAGAAGTGAAATATGAAAGAAAGAAAAATAAAGTGTAAAAAAAATAAATAAAAAAAGAATAAAATAAGAATAAGTATGAGCAAATAGTCTTATATAAAAACCTATCTTAGATGCATTTTTAAACATGAAAGTCATGAAAAAACAAAGTGTCACATGTTATGAATCATGTGAAAGGTCATTCATAATTCATGTGAAAGGTCATCCATAATTCATGTGAAAGGTTATCCATAATCCATGTGAAAGTTTATCCATAATATTTTACAATGCCCCTTTGGATGTATTCTACAATTCAACACACCGTTAGTGTGATGATTATAGAATATATCAAAGGTTATGAAAAACAAAGAGTCAAATGTTATGAACCATGTGAAAGTTCATCCACAATATTTTACATCAAAAATGAATTTTTCAGTAGTAATATGTTTTAACAGAGATTTTCATCTGCGCATCAATAAAAATAAAATTTTCTATTGACATCTAAGCATGTTATATATCCAAATTTGTATTGAAACATATCGTATACAATGCATTTTAGTAATTTTGTGGATAATAATAACTAAATTTTTTTTTGTAACAATAGTAATTAAAGAAAATCAATTATTTTACTTTCAAATATATAACATACTAAGAGCAGTTATTCGATTCTGGTATTAAGATAATTTTTCTATCATTACTTTTAGTTTTTCACTATAACTGTTGTATTCTATTATGACTCCCGATGAGATACTTTTTATTTTATGGCATCATTTAATAATGAATTTAGTAAAAGTAGTAACTAAATTTTCACTTATATCAAAATTTTGTTTACATTTTCACTTGTATATTTATGTACTAATCTTATTTTATTAAAAAATTAAATTATAAAAAATTTATAATTTGCATAAAATATGTTAAGAAAGTGTTAAAAATTTATTTGTTAAAATATTTTTTAATATATTGAATATGATAAAAAAAATTGTGAAATTATAATTTTGGATGGCCCGCGAGCTGGCCCTAACCGATAGAGCTTTTGGCTAGTGCGGGTCTTGATTATTAAAGTTCATTTGGTCCTATGGCCTTTTTGGTCCTAACCCACACTGGCTAGGGCCAAATGGGACGGACTGGCCTATTTTAACAGCTCTACTGAAACACGTACTACATTGTTGCAAGGTGTCACGAAATTACATATTTTAATTAAAGAAAATTACTTTTTCATTTGATGATTTTACAAACCCAAAACCTTGTCCAAATAAATTTATCATCGCCAGTCAAGGTAATGAAAAGTATCTGTCAAATCAAATAATTGACGTTAGAGCTTAGGTCTCTAGAGTTTCTCAAATGCTTGGCAGTTGGCACATACAAATATTTGTTTCCAGTGTTGTTTTGAGTTGCACAACATAACTTGATTTTGAAGTTATGCTATTTGAATACAATTGATTGTTTGTCTGTTTCTCCGGTCTGTGTGCTGAATTAAACAACATAATTTGATTTTTGAAGTCTTTCTGCTATCTCTCCAAAAACGCACTATTATACATAAAACAATGTCTTGGTCATCTCTAATTACCAAAATTAATGGTTATTATATAGCTTCCCGTGACTGAAATCATCACTGTTCTGTTCATGTTTTGTTGAGTAGAGATGCAAGATTGCCAAGTTCCTCAAATGCGTGCGTTGTTTCAGCATCAAATCCTCCTGCAAAGCGCATTGTGATTTCGCAAAGCAAGTGTGCTTTAGATATATTAAAAAGTTCTCAGCGTACTGCTAAGCAATCAAGATAAGTTTAGACAGTGAATATCCCATAATTGGATAGGGCAACTTGGCATACATCCAATGGTGGATGGCTGCTTCTGTATATTTTACCATGGCTAGATGAGATGTATTGAAAAAGTTACTTTTAAGCACAGTACTGAACAGAATTATAAATAAACAGTTTTTCTTGTGGAATAACGAGAGAGAACCGAGCAGAGCCAAATGTTTCTATTTCTGCATGGGGAACGCTAATCCAGTTCTTACTTTTTGGGCGTCTTTTAGCAGATTTCTTCATGGTATATGTAATCATTCAAGCTTGGGATTCTTTATCTTTTGATCAGAACGACTTTAGGGTGACATGTCTGTGCATAAGCTTTAACGATTTGAGAAAAGATTTCCATCTTCTTTTTTGTTTCTTTATCTGCATGTGATCCCTTTCACTTAATTGCCACATTCACGGGTTCAAGCACTTTATGTTATATTTTACATTCTGAAAAACAGGACATGAAGAGGGAAAGACAGTATAATACCGAATTCCACTACTTCCACTTTACATTTTGTTCAATTCAATAAATATTTCAATCCCGTGTTTGGAAAACTTAAATAATACAAAAACATAATTTATTTTGTGATTATGAAAGTAAAATATAAAGATTAAAAATAAAATAAACTCAAAAGTTTAAAACTAATCTTAATATTGCTAACATTATCCTTAATAATTATTTTTGACTCACTAGATAGTTTTCAAGACAAACTTAATTTTCTTAACATTATCCTTGATTTGTTATGTTTTGTACTATATATACAGATTGGTATAAGGATAGCCAATAATATAAATAAAATGAGAAATTATTACAAAGTATATGACTATTGTATTCTACAAGATAACTATCATTCATATTATTACAAGCGTTATAGCAGCTTTTTAATAAAAAAAACAATAAAAATTAAAAAATTAAACTGAAAGCAGGGCCCATGACTTTCCACATTACAATGGACATTGATGTATGTCTTGAAACCCACCATGTTTAAGCTTGAAAAGCATATTAAATTATTTGTAATGCTGAGATACCTCCCAAACTAGCTTATCCATGAAATGGCATTTCTTGTCAAATCCCCAGCCTGGGTTGCTCTGCATTATATTTCAAACCAAACATAAATATACTATAATGTCCAGAATAGTCCTTCCACATAACCAGCATTTATCATACTTAATTGAAATAAAAGGCAATTAAAGAGCAAAAGAATCAAATTGAAGATGCTATACCTATATGGTGTTGGAATCATAAGCACGAGCATTTGAAGTCAAGTAGCATTGCATTTACAGAAAGAATTATATCATATAATGCACATCAAGCATCCAAAATTAAGAAAAATCTCGTAAGCATTTAGTTTATGTCATTGGAAGTTAAAGCACAACAGATTGCTTAACCATCTGAATTCCACTGTAGTTCACATTTCACAACATAAAAAAGAGAGATTACATTAAACTGAAGAAATACTACATGTTCAGCTAAGCCTCCATAATCAAACATTAAAAATTCCGTTATCTGCAATTATACCCATTCATCGAGTTAAACTAATGCTCTAGTACTTTCGTCTGCTGCTTTTTTTTTTTTTTTTCCTTTTATGGTTATGACTTTTTGAGTCAGTAAATTGTTAGATAACTTCCAAATAAATGACCTAGCAGCCATACCAAAGAAACCTCTGCTAAGCATATATAATAAATAATAAAAAATTATAAAAATAAAAAACACTGATGATATCATAATACCATTTTTATATGCTGCGCAATGAAAGCAAAAATAATGAGAAAACTAAATGAAATTTAAGAACACTAATCTCCATAAAAAATAAAATAACCAAAGGAACTAAAAAAATTCACAGAACAAGCTCCAAGCATTTTAGTAACAACCAATCTCTGAAGAAGAGAAAACTATTAGCATACATTTATATGCTTGTAATATCATACGAAAAATCTACAGTCCAAATTGCATAACCCATATTTATCCGAATTAATGAAAGGATAAAAGAAACAGACGAGGATTATATAAATCAACCTCAGGATAAGGAAATTAACTCCAGCCTCAGGAAAACAAATTTACTCACATGTCAAGATTTGGACATTAGATATGCTCTCCTACCCAATGTCATTAAGATTAGTGCAATTCCAGCCACATTTGAGACTGGCCAGAATAAAGTCATTACAAAACATATATAATCATGAATACCGAGTTTCGTAATGACAGTAAATTGCTTCAGATCTAGACTACAAATGTCAGGGAACCTCCTGGGTTTCTAATGACACTGTAAATAATTATCTTATTTTATCAAAAGCATTTACCTTATAAATATGTAAACTCCAATAGCCCATGATATTCATTCATTTCTTCTCAATATTTTTTAATAGATTTAAACAAGTATTAATTACTTTTAAGGCCGAGATGGATTTTCTTACCACTGCCTTACCAATAACAACTAATCAGCCTAGGTACAACATCCACCTTCTGTTGATTTCAATAATCTAAAATGTACGACAAATAGAAATTTTATCCAAACCTGTCTTTCTAAATACTTTTGCGATTTATTTTATCAACTAGCATTTAGATTATATGTTCCAAGAAAGAACACCAAGTGCTTCTTCGGGTTTCAATTGAATATACATCTATTGTGAACAGAAAATTGCTTTTGTCAACATCGTACAACACCAGCTATGGCCATCCCAAAGTTAGATCCTATACTACGAGAAAACTATATTGAGGAAGGGGGTTAATTTAAAACTGAACTGTATGAGCAAGCAATAGAACATCAGCAGAGATGCTTATAGGGAGATTTACCAACATAAGAGAGAGATAACTACCCTAGTAAAAGCCATTTCATGCCAAACACATCAGTATTTACAGTTCCAAACCTGAAGAGAGATAACAGCACGGTTAGTAAATTGATTCACAGAAGATGGTGCACTTGCAGGAAGAGTTTTGGCAACTCTCTCTAATTCCTCTTGTTGCTTCTTTGCAGTTACCCTATCTGGTCCACTGTAGTGATCGACAATCTTTTTCAGTAATGGAACTCGTGCCATTGTGTCTTCCATTATTTCCTAGTAGGATATAAAGTTAAAAAATAATAGAGAAAAAAAAATCCCAACACACGCACATACACACCCATAAGGTAGACAATGACAGTGAAAATAAAAGCATTTTCCCACTAGTACTTGCAAAATAGAAAACTATTTCTAAAGAATGCAGTGATGCAGAACTTATTTATACTTGTTCGACACGTTTGATATAAAAATGTTATTGGAAATGAAGCCATAAGATTATTAGTGAATATATTGGTGAATTAAACACATAAAAAGGAACATTAGTAAGAAACTTTGGCTCTAAACCTTTGCAAGTTACATTACTAAATATTGGGTAGTTAACCTCAATCATGGATAAGATTAGCAATAAAATGTACCTCCCACTCTTCTTGACTTTGAATCCCCTCATATGCCATCAAGAATGGTTTCATCTTCTCAAGTGCATCCCGAAGTGGTATTGGTTCCTTCTCATCAATATCTGGATTCCTATCAAACTCACCCATCAAATATTCTGGCTCAAATTCGATCTGCATAATCAAGAAACAGAAAAAAAAAAAAAATCAAATCAAATGTTAAGATATTCTTACTAAACAGATAATGGAAGGTTGACTAGAAAATTTTCCCCAACAAAAATGACTTCAGATCTTCAGAGTTGGCTCAATCAAGCCTAATGAGTTTCCTGAGAGCAATCCAATTAAGCTAATTCTCTTTTTTTAAGTTCTTTTTAACAAACTGGAAAGTTTCACCTTGACACGACTAAACTAGAAATGAAATAAAAATTCTATATCCACTACTTTTGATCATTTCTCAACAAATAAATAAAGATAGCAGCAGCTAAGCACTTACTGCATAATTAATGTCTAATGCTTCCAAATACTCATCCTCCAATGGTGAGGGTAAAACTCTACTAGCCATCTCCTCAAATCCTTCAGTCAACTGATCCATTATCTCAGGCCCAAACTTCCGGGCTAATTTCTCGCCATCTGCATCATCTCCAACAAACAGCCCATCACCATAGGAATCCTGTGTAGACTGAACCTCACGAACTACTTCCCTTGCTGCATCCCTCTCTCTAAACCTTCCCCTTCCTACACCCCGGCCTCTGCCTCTTCCTCTGCCTCGGCCTGGACCAAGCTCATCTGTCTCTCTAAATCCTCTTCCTCTTCCAGTACTACTTCCATCAACATCACCCCGTGACAAAATTTTACGTGCATTCTTCACTGCATCATCCCTGCTTGGTAATGGGTGTCTCTCAGGTACAGTCTTAGATGCAGCAGCACCTGGAGCTCGACGAGTGCGGAGATGCCTATTCTCTTCTGCACCATCCTGGCTTGGTATTGTCTGTCTCTCAGATACAGTCTCAGATGCAGCAGCACCTGGAGCTTGTTGAGTGCGGAGATGCCTATTCTCTTCAGCAACTTGAGCGTCTGGATCTGCCTGTTTCATGGGCTTCCCCCGCCCAAGTCCAGAAAACACCCCTAGTATGCTCCCTGGAAGATTATTAGCATTTTCATTATCACCTGATCTGGCCGTTGGTTTGACAACACCCTCCATTTCAGGAAATATGGGTTTTTTGGGTGGTGAAACATCATCTGTGACTGAGGAAGAAACACTGTCCTCTCTTTTGAAGAAAATTGGTTTTTTGGGTCCAGAATCTGGTGGCTGCAAATCATGTTCAGGTTGAGATGCTAATGGACCAACAGCTCGGCCACGGCCAGCTGACGGCTGTTTTATGGAAGACAAAAATGATGAGAAAGAAGGAAGACCTGATGGAGGAGAAATTGGCTTGCCACGGCCATGGCCATGACCAGAAGCAGGAGGAATGGGTGACTCTGGTGTATCAGATTTGGACTCATTGGAATTAGGTTTGCCCGGAGCTCTTTCATTGAAGTTGAACAGCCCCGAGTCAGGGAGAGAGCCTCCACGACCACGACCACCACCACCAGAGCTGGAAGATGTAGAAAATGGAACTAGTGTTTTTCTGGTGGCATTGGAAATGTTGGTGTTTTGGAGCCTTACACCAATGGTTCCTCTCATTGGCTAAATGGGACAAAATGCTTTATTCAACAGGTCAAAGAGGTTTCAGCAACATGAACCTGATAGAAAGAAATACATATACATTACCAAGTTTATTTAAACTGTTTGAATAGCCAATATAAGACATTAATCAATTACATAAAAAATTGTATTTCAGAATTTATTCGCATAGCATACTCCACTTTAACAGAGATCTACATTTCGCCAAAGAAAACAAATCAGACTTAGTTTAAAAAGTACCCAGCATCCAGCCCCAATATCATACACATATCTTACTCACCCTCCCTTTGATCAACCCATCACAAGAACTAGCATCCAAGGATAATTGGTCAGGATCACAATTGACACCAAAGATTCAAAGTTTAACAACCCAGAAGCTTAAAATTCTTAAAATTCAAAAGGCCATCCAAATGGATAAGGCAGGACAATACACAAGCACATAAACCACAAGAGAATTCAGAGAGCGCCTTCGTTATCAAAATTTAAACTCAAAAGTGTCTGTCTAGTCACAGATAAGTAACAGCTACTAACAGAGTGACTTGGGGAAGCAATGAAAACCCTAAACTTTAAACTATGCAGGCAGAAGGTAATGAGAACCCTAACATGCTCCAATCTTATTCAATTCCAACCCAAAGCTATTAAAAATAATAATAATAATAATAATAATAATAATAACTTGACAAGCTAAAAAGCACACTTGGTGGGACCAATTCGTTGTTCCAAAGTAGGAAAAATTGAAAAGAGAAGAAATGAAAATACGTGGACGTCGTCGACGGTGCTCGCCGGCACTGCTCTTATAGTGATGATGATCTGAGATTGAGAAATGAGAACCCACTCAGTTTCAAGGAAATAAGGGTTTTGTTAAAAAGGGCTTTTTTTGGTTTGGGCCTAAACAATTTAAAAAAATCCGGGCCCATTATGTTAGTTTGGGGCCTTTTTATTTTTCAGAGCCCAAAAAATGAAAGAATATTTGTGAGAGTACAACGACACTGTTTCAATTACAAGTAAAATAACCTTCAATTAAAAAAAAAAAAAAAAAACCAATTTTGATTGATGATGCTATATATAGAAATTGGATTTGAATTAGAAAATTGTGTTTACTTAGTGCGACGAATGTATGCACAATACATAACTAAAAGATTGCTCAAAATGTGCATCAAACATTAGGGATTATTCACCGTTAAAGATTTAAAATAAGAATAATTGTTTTCTTATTTAATATGAGATAAAATAATTTTTTTACACATATATTGAGTGACGAGATTCATTTATATTTTTTTTTTCTTTTTTTCTCTCTCCTCTCTGTCACATATGTGAATGTAAGAAAATAAATTTATCTCATGTTAAATGATATAAACAATTTTCTTAAAATAAATAAAGTCAAATACCCTGAACTTGGCTTGACGCCATCATTGGTGTATGCATGCTTTGTATTTCGAAGCAATTTTTTCAACCGAAAGTACACAAAACAAGTGAATTTGCATACAAGTACAAGGAGATTGATTACTCTTCAATGTTGATTTGATATTGTTAAGTGGCACAGAACATCGATTAATGAACACCACAAAGAATAGTATTTTGTGGACCATAATTCATCCGCTCCCATTCCATTTCATCAAAGTTTTGATTCTCTCATCACATTTTCATTTCACCAAATTATCAATGGAAGCATCTACGTAGCTCTGACACGTGACACGATACGACATGACATTCTGACACGTTAATTTTAAAAAATATTAGATTTTGACACGTTAGGACACGTTTTGATATTAAATAATATTTTTAATTTATGTAGTGTATATTATATTTAATATTCAATTATTTAACAAAAAAATGAAATTAAACTTATAACATTTATCAATTTTGCAAAAAAACATAAGATATCCTAAATATTTATATTAAACTCAATAAAATGATAATCGTAATCCAACGAATCTAATAGTTGAAACTAAAAACTCAACACAACGAAACCTTTGAATCTTTTTTTGAATTTATATAACGCGTGTTGAAGTGTCGGAGAGTGTCAGAAAGTGTCAGACACGACACGTCAAGATTTTTGAAGTGTCGGTGCTTCATAGGAAGCATCATTATTGAAAAGAGGATCTTGTATTGTATTCGATGTGAAGTTAGAAAAATTTCTAATTTCTTGTGAGCTATAATTATTTATATAATAAAAATTAAAAATAATATTCATATTTAAAGGTCCTATGAGCTTGCTGAGGAAGACAATCACTATTTATCTGACAAAATAAAAATAAAAATAATACTTCACAATTAAATATTTATATGATATTTAAAGGAGTGTTTGCCGCCCCAACTCAAGATTGATTTCATAAGTGGTTCAAAGAGTTAAAGTTTATAGGAATATCCGAAAAAGCCAACTCATCTTAATTAGGGTTGATATTCGTTAATAAAAAAAAAGAAAGTGATCGCCCTCGGCTTTTTTACCCTTATAACTTTTTATTAATAATTAATTACCAAATTGACCCTCATTATAAACTATTTCAAAAATTTAACCTCCCCAACAAACATAACACCGATCTACGTGTTTGACCGTTGACCACCAAGCATACCCAGGTACACCCCTCCCTACCTGGGTATTTTTTGAAATTTATTGCCTACCCAGCTAAGGGAGGGATACCCGAGTATAGTTCTTGAATATGAGAAAATGGTTGAATTATTTACCCTGGTAGAGAGGGGTGTACCCGGGTAAATCTCTGTCAAAAACCCCAAAATAAAATAAAACTCAAGAGACTAAAATGAAATCATATTGAACTCAAGAGACTGCTACATAGCAACTCCTATAGCACTTGTAAGTTTACTTACATTAACAGTCATCACCAGGAAATCTAACAGAACCCGAAAACTGACACCAGGTCTTGGATGCAAAATGAAGCAGGAGGAGGCAGAATAATGCATGGCCTCTATCGAATAGGTTCAGAAATTCACACATCCAATGACAAGAAGCGATACCTGTTCAAAAATTGCAACAAACCAGATTAGGAAAAAATTGTACGAGGAACAAGTACAAGAGCAGTAAAGTTGAAATGTACCCTTTTCTCATAAGCATTCATTCAAAACCAAACTTGCAAAGAAATCAAAAAAAAAGTTTAGAACTTTCAACCAACCCAAGATTTGAAAAAACCATAGCAAATGGTAGGTGACAATATCGTGGGAAGATGGGATAAAAAAATTAACATAAGATGAAGATAAGGAGGAGAAACCGGTTTTGTAAATTGTATGTCTGTTGGCTGCTGCAGAGATCTAGGAGGGGTTTTGGGGTTTCTGGTGGAGATTTACCCGGGTACACCCCTATATACCCGGGTAAATAATTCAACTATTTTCTCAGATTCAAGAACTATACTCGGATATCCTCATTCCTACCCGGGTAGGCAAAAAATTTCAAAAAATACCCGAGTAGGGAGGAGTGTACCCGGGTAGACTTGGTGGTCAACGGTCAAACAGGGACAGATTGATGTTATGTTTGTTGGAGAGGTTAAATTTTTGAAATAGTTTATAATGAAAGTCAATTTAATAATTAATTATTAATAAAAAGATTATAAAGATAAAAAAGCCGATCGGCCTCCCACCCACTTACTAAGCGCCGATATATCAATTAAATGATGCATAGCGGTGGAGATAGGCAGATAGCAAATAGGAGAGAATAACATAGTCAAGGGACCAATACAGAGCTTGCAATTGAGTCCAAGTTGAGATTCACGGACCACTTATTCTCTACATTGAATCACTATTTACTTTTCTTGCTTTCTTTTTGTTTCTTTGTAATCCTTTGTTTTTTTCTCCTTGTCATACTTTATTAATTTGATCCTTTCCAACCTCTCTTTATCTAATCCTATATTCAAACCTTTTTGTGATGTGATTATAGTATTTTGTATTTTTTTTTGTCTTTTTTATTAATGATTAAGTACCACAAACCACAATTTCTCATTCATTTATTCATTTCAATGCAATCAATCACCAAAAGAAAATTTTCCATAATTAAGATGTTTGCTTGACTCATTTTTTGACAAAAAAAAATAAAAATAAAACTCTTTTTGAGTCCCTAACAAAGAATATGATTCCCACTTTAGTCTCTTACAAAAATAAATAGTCCCGAGGTTCTTAAAAAATTCAAAGTGAATCTATTTAGTTGAAATCGTGATCCTTCACAAATTCAAAAAGACCCATATTAGTCTCTCGAAAGGACTAAAATGGGTCCACTTTGAATTTTATAAGGACCAAACAACTAATTTTTTTTTTTGCAAGAGACTAAAGTGAGGACTATTTTTTTATTAGAGACTCAAAAGATAATTTCTTCAACAAAGAAATAAAAAACTACAACTTAGTGTTTAACATTCCATCCCAGATCAAACAGTCAAAAAAGAAAAGAAAAAAATGGTGGGGTTTTGTAAGTAAAGCTCTTAACCTTATTGACATTTTTTTTATAATAATGTTTTTCCTTCTTCATTTTTTTTTTATCTTAACCATTTTAACAATAATTTAATGGGTAGCATACAAAAATACCATCTTTTCAAGCTTCCCATGCTAAGGGAGCAGTCGCAGATGCGTGGAAATTTATATTAATAGATGTTACATTACATCTCAATACAAAATTCTAAAATAATAGGTATATAAAAACTTTATTTACAAAGTTATTAATTTATTTATTGTTATTATAATATAAGACTTATTTTATCTACATATACTTACTTTACATTTAAATTCCCAACAAAATGCATTAAGAAAATAGTATGGGTGTCATAGAAATTAGCATCATGTCAGATTGAATTCAACCAAAATAAATATATTAGGCACATCTTAGGTCTACCAGAAGAGTGCTGCTGACACATACATAAAAACCATTTAAGAAAACTAGAAATTTCCCTTTCATCACGGCAGTGCTGAAATGTAAGATTGCTAAAAATTAAATTGAGCAAATGTGATCGAATGAAAGTTACACATAATATAAGTTTGCATATATTTTTATTATTATTATTTTTACTTTCATATTTTTAACTCATGTTTAAAAACATTTTGAATATCTCAAATGAGGAATTTTTTTGTGCCACAGAGTCCTTCTATTCAAGAGATGACATTTGGACAACAAATAATTTTTTATTTCTTCTCTCTCCTCATTGTTGTATGATTTTGATTAGTCCGAACTACTGACTAAATGGTGGTTCGAGACTACTGAAATTCTTCTCCTCAAATGATCTTCATTTAGTACCTCTTGATGGGAAGTGGTTTTAATTTATTTATTTTTCAAAATCATTTTTGATAGTATGATGATTATTCTTTTATAGTTAGAAATTTAAGAAAGCGTTAGTTCCTCCCTTTTAAAATATGACCATCTTATTTACCGAAAAAAAAAAATGACCATCTCAAAAATCGTAACGAGATTTTCCTATATTTTGTAATCTATTTAATAAAATTTACATAATAATTTAAATATCATCTCATCACACGCTAATTTATTATTTAATATCATTAAAATGAGACAAAAGCATATTTGAATTACATTAATAAAAGCTTTCATTAAAACTTCTACTTTTTTTTATTGTTAATTGTTTTATAGATTTCACAAATTTATTAATGTTGTTAAAAAGTGAATTTATATTTTATAGTGAATTGATTTATGTTGTTTAAGCAGTGTTGGCAAAAATTACATTCGAATGTGTAATTAATAGTAAATTCAGATGAAATATCCCATTTAACCCGCATTTTGCTCAAGCACATCCATGTTAATGTTTGTCAATAGTGTCACTGAAAAGATAGTGTTGAATGAGATTCAGGAATAATTCGTCATTAGGTATATATATAATATAGCA